CCCGATGCTTGGTAAAAAGGTACCTAAAATTGATTTAATAGTGATTTTAAAGGTTATCTTGAGAAGTCCTTAAATAAATGCTAAATATGAATTGTTGAACCAAAGCATTTTTAAATATCCGCTCGGCGCCATGCAAAATTTAATACATCATTTAAAATTAATGCAATAAAAAAATAAAAAAAATTTCGGAACACACATTGCGGAAACAGAAATAATAGCAAAATTGCAAAGGAATTCTCTGTTGTTCTCTTAATATTTGTGAGTTCACAAATTTTAATCGGAAGCAATTTTGCAAATATCGTCACCTGAGCTTCACCAGCGATTGCTTTCGCCAGAAGTGTTTTACCGGTTCCAGGAGGACCAACCAAAAGGACACCTTTTGGAAGGCGTGCACCCAGCTGCGTGTATCGTTCTGGATCTCGAAGGTATGATACAATTCCACGTAATTCGTTTTTTGCTTCATCAGCCTAAATGTTTTAAAAATATAAGAAATTAGAAAACAGAGATACGAAATTTAAAATGCGGGAAATAAATGTACTTACACCGCGAACATCTTTGAACGTAACACCGATCACTTCTGGATCAACTTCTTCTACAGAAGTAAAGAGAGACGTCTGTGGAATACCAAATGACTTGAAAATGATGTCTGAAAAAAAAAACATTTCGAAATTTTGTGATCTGTTATAAAATCAGTGTAATCTGTCAGAAAAAAAAAGAGAAATAAAGTGAACTAACATTTATCAGGAAAATATAAAAATGAAATAATGCTGGGAAACGAAGTCCTGACAACTGCAGCATTTCAATTAACGGGAAATAACATGTGTTATTTTAGAGAACCGTTATTTTTACAAACAAAAAGAAAACAACAATTAAGTTTAATCAAGAATCATTAGAATAAGAAAATATCTAACTTCAAAACTTACAAAGTCCCAGGCCGACTACCGTAGCCGAAAAAAAAACTGTTCGGAATACTGATCTTTTCTGCTTCTGTTCATTTGAGTAATCCAAAGCAGCCATATACCCTTCCTATAACAATATGCAGATAAAAGTAATCTACTTCAGGTTTTAAACTTCTAGAACAACTTAGTGTGTAATAACAATTTTATAATATATAATCTACTTCAGATTTTAAGCTTACAGAACAAGATCCAATTCTTCGCAATAATAATTTTTTAACATAATGCAAAAAATCAGAAAATTTTCAAAGCTAAGTTCGAAATCGAGTTAAAGAGATGGCGTACCAGAAAACCCTTTCTATCATTATCGGATACTGTCTTCAGTTTTTCTCGAAAAGCTTTTGTTTGCGGGCCCTTTCGTCCGATGCTCTGAAAGAAAATTTAATATAATAAATTCGTAAAGATGAATCTCTTATTACTGTGAAAGCAAAAATAAATACAAACTATTATATTGCAACTTTTTATACATTGCCAAAAATTCATATAATCTCTGTTCACTAGAAATTCGTTTAGATTCAAAAAGTTCCACCTCTTCCCTTATCTGCTGTTGCCGATAATGGTTAATGCTGGATGCTAAAGTGAAACCACAGAAGAAATAGTAGAATATCGTTTCAAAAACTTTCTGTGACTTGAAATTGGGCTTTATTCAGCTCTACCTTATCTTTTAATCATAATCTATCCAGCTGATCGATTTTATGCAAGACAATAATCTAACAACGCTGCACGCTCATCAAAAAAAATCAAAAAATAGGCGGTGATTACAAAAGTCCACTTAAAAGCAGTTATTTTTTATTCGCTCTAATTCTTTTTCTTAAGAATAAAATCATCAATTGACAAAACAAAGACACGAAATAAACTGAACCTCGAGTGCTTTGATGCCCAAAACTGCAAAAAATCCTTTCGTTGGTTTCTCCACTTTTTCCAACCGCTGTGTGCGAAAACCTCGTTTCTGTATATCTGGAAACTGTTATAATAATTTCATATATATCAACAGAACTCATTTTATCGAACCTGTTTGGTGAAAGTGATGCATTAGATATCATTTTATTTTCTCACAAGATATTTTTACCTATAGCAAAATAATTCGTTCATACAGTAAAGCAAATCAAATGGGTAGAGTGTTCAAAACAATTCAATATTTCAAACAAAAAAGAAAAAACCAACAGAACTGCGACTTTGATGGATAATAAATCAAATTCAGTGAATTCTCCAACCTTAACGTTACTACTGACTTTTTCTGTTTACACTTCAACGCACACATTCGATTTTCTGGAACATTGTTTAGATCATCTATGAATGGGAAAGATAAATGAAATGCATCTTTTTCACACATCAGAAAAACTTCAGAAAATACTTCGACAATACGGCATCTGTTTCCGTCTTTGAATTGGAAGATTTCGGCGAAAAACCGCATACAAGACGAGTAGTAAGACGGAACATTATGACCGATCAGGATTGCTTGATGAAACCGAAAATATGTATTAAAAAATTAAAAATAAAACAAGCATTCTTTAATATCTAAAATAAATACCACGAAGAAGAATTTGAAATAAGGATTCACTGAGTGAGCTGAAGCATCGTGTATAGGCAAATTGACAAACAGGAGGACATCTTCCTAAATTCAGTTCATTTCTTACATTAGTTATTGATGGCAGCCGCATATTCTGGATCTGTGCGACCAGCGAGGATGAAACCAGTAAGGTAGCCATACTAGTATTATCTCGAAAACTGAAAAATGGTAAGAATTATTAATAAGAACATCTATTGATCTGTAATCTACTAGAGATAATACATACTTATAATAACAATATTGACATTTACTTAAACATAAGTTCCACAGAAAAATTCTTCAAATACTTTACACACTGATTCCCTCTAAAGAGACGATATGAATTACTTTCAACATCATTTTTTACTACTTGCTCTGTTATCGTCATCAGTCAAACAGCATGCATTCAACATGAAATAATAATAGCTTTCACTAATTTCGTGCTCCAAGTTAAAATAATTGTTCCATTTTAAACATTAGAAATATCAACAGACAGATATGTACATAAAAGCAATCAATAATCATAACGAGAAAAATTAACTATTTCAAAAATGTCATCAAACACTTTTAAAAACAGCCACACCTAACACTGTAACTATTCAAATGAAATCTAAAATAAAATTAGAGACAATTTATCTGAATTACATTGGAGCTAAACTGAATCAGCTCTTCTCCCATTCACACATATCGTACTGTTTTCCTACTACCGTACTATAATGAATGCCAAGAATCTTCGTCTACGACAATCAACTCACAAATTCATTCTCTAACAATCCCAAATACTTTCTTCTATTTCCAAACTATACTTCCAATGCAGAATGCAAATCTGAAGATTATACCATTCTTTTCATTATGCATTCCGTCCCATCCATGCAACGAATTTTCATCAATCACAATAAGTGAATTCCACTAACAGTTCATAGGTCAAACTTAATTTACAAGACAGAACTTGACCTTAAGATACCTCGAGAGCCCAACCTTACTCCCTTCCTCATTCTGTCCCTATCTCGATGGTATGTCGATTTTCATTGAGGACGGTTGTGAAATAGAGGTGCGGGTGGGTGACTGGATGCATGACGAGTTGGGTTGTGCTTGGGGATGTTTCAAAGATAATACATTTTAGGATGTCAGGCGATAATCTGAATGATTTCTACTTGCGTTATTATGTTGGCCATAAAGGAAAGTTTGGCCATGAGTTCCTGGAATTTGAGTTCCGTCCGGATGGGAAGATGCGATACGCAAACAACAGTCAGTACAAGAATGACACATTGATCCGAAAGGAAGCATATGTTGGTAAAATTGTTATCGAAGAACTAAAGCGTATTATCGATGATTCGGAGATCATGCAGGTGCACTAGTTTCCGTATTGTCTGATTACTCTTTGAAAATGGTATACTCTCGAATGATATACTCTGTAGTTATTCATTTCAAGCTTTTGCTCAACGTTTGTTACTAAACATAAAGTTTTCTTCGTTTTTTTTAGTTGTTCATATTTTCTTAATCATTTTCCATTTGGCATATTATTTAAAATTCTCTCATCATTCATCGTATTAAGTTAAAATTTTCAACTATTTGCAAGTTTATTTTTTAATTCTAGGTATTGAACTGTCGCTTACTTAGTTTAATTCCTTTTGTTTTGTGGAAATTCGAAGTTGTTTGATTTAAGGTATATATGCAATATGAGTTGCTCCCCTCCTGAAGGACATTTTTTCGCTCGTAACATTAATTGTAGAATTAAAGAAAATGATTCGGTGATAGAATCTTACATTACCTTAAATAGCAACTATTTTTTGTTATGGTGATTTACCTATTATTCTAAAAATTGTTGTCCTGAGAATTATTTGATGAGTGAAATGTATTGTCCTCCATGTTTAATATTTGAAATAATTATTATAGGAAGATGACGCAACTTGGCCAGAACCGGATCGCATTGGTAGACAAGAATTGGAAATTCTTCATAATGATGAACACATATCTTTCACTACGAGGTAACATTCTTTACACGTTGTGAAGTACTATTACTGACTACTTTGTTGTTTCGATCGTGGAGGTATTACTGCATATCTATTAATGCTAAAATTTTATATTAATTTGTGTGTATTTTTATTAGGGGCATGACGGCTTGTATTCATCATAAAAATTGTGTATTAAATTTAGTAGACAAATGATGGCTCGTACTCAAGATTTCACTGTCGCATAAGAGCACATAGCGACTGATTAAACACGCCCTTCTATCTTTAATCTGTTCTTTTATAAGACCAGATCGAAGTGGAAAGTTGTTGGAACCTATAATATTGTGTTTCAGCAAAATTGGTTCCGCTGCAGACGTAAACAAAAGCAGGGATCCAGAAGGACTGCGATCCTTCTATTATCTTGTGCAAGATCTCAAGTGTTTGGTTTTTTCGTTAATTGGCATGCACTTTAAGATCAAACCTATCTGAGGCTTCCATTGCAGTTTGTCACTGTCTTGTTTCGTTATTGATGTGTTTTTGTTCAGTTCAGTTGTGCTTACATAATGACAAAATAAATGCACTTGCAGAATAATTTAAGTTGAAGAATAGCGAGATAATTCTTTGGATTTTTTCCAAATTTTTTCTTTCGCATCCATCTATCTTGGGAGATCTTTTGATTATTGATTGCATACTGTAACCTTAAATTAAAAATTGATGCTATCTATTTAAGAAATGAAACTTCAGCAATGCATGCATTTCTTTACATAAAATAAACAAAACGAACGATATGTTAAACAGCATATTTGACAAATTTTCGAAAACAACAATAAAAAAGCGGTTCTAAAATAAATAAACATAAAGAATATAGTTACAGAGAAAGCAAACTAGCAGTTAGGGGAAAATTATTTAATACAAATACCGTAGAGTTCTCAACCGTTAATGTCTTTCACAATACGACATTTATTTGGGCGCAAGCTCTATTTATTATTGGAAAATATTTAATAAATGAACAAACATGAAAAGAAAATACTATAAAAGGGATTAGTTTTGAATGTGTTGCGAATCGAAGTCGAGGTAGCCCTCATTGATTTAGTAAGATTTAGATATTCTATTTTTCAAAACCTGTTGGCTTATTAACACAAAAAAATTTGCTTTGAAGAAGCGGATGCAAATAGAGACGACACTGTAGTTTATATCAATCTTAGCGATTTCATTTCTCAGTTCTTGGATTATATGGCGCGATAACAGGTCAAGTTTTACTCATATGCGGTGTGCTTCAAGAAGTAGTGATTATGGCTATCTGCTTATTCCTGGGAAAATAAAGGAACGGTAATAATTGGACAACTGCGATCACCGACGCAATAGCGTTCGGTACCTGAAACATATTATTGAAAGGTCATAAAATTACCAAGAATTCTAAGCGTGATTGTATAGAGTAGAGTACTCTTAGCAGATGGTTTTCTGTACCCGCTCGACTTCACTGTCTTTTAGGTAATAATTGACATAAGAGTTAACTTAGATATATTAAAGACGGAAAAAACTCAGTACTTGTATGTAGATGTCATCAATGAGAATTCCATACAGCAGCCACTCCGCTGCCACAAGAAGTGTTAGACAACAAAGAGGTAACGGCATTGTCTCTGTACAGCGCGTTCGAAAAACTTCACGCTAGAATTCATGAATTCAGAAGTTATTTCGCTGGAAATTTCAAATTTTTTTTCGAATAATGAAATAATGAGAAATATCTTCATCTTGCTTACCAAAGCTTCCAAGGGAGCAGCGGCGGTAACTACATTGAATATCACACAACACATTCCCAAGTGTAAACGGATCATTTCCACTGGTAAGCCGTAATAATGGATATAATAATGTGCACCCATCAAAAACATCACTTCCGCAAAAATTAATCTCACGCAACGATTCTATAATTGATAAATCACATTCAAAATCAAAGTTTTGAGACTTCGTTCCTAGCATTAAGTAATGTTAAGCTGTGGTTACCTTTGTAGCATACGGTGCCATAATGAAATAATAAAATATATATAATGAATAGAGTAATGCAGCCACTGAATTGACACATATTATAATCTGCAACATGGGTTATTCACTGAGATTCACCAGTTCCCACTTCTTATTGAATTCACGTAACTGATCTGGCTCATCAACACGTTCAAAAAATTACGCTACTCTGTTCCATAATAAACACAAGTGGGACATTAACAAATACTTCGTTATGCCTTAAGAGACCATATTGTAACCACAGCTGCCCAGAAAGAAAGCCTGTATGAAATGGTGTCGAACTGATGCCATTTGTTGTCCTTTGAGACTGAAATAATTTAATTTCTAGAAAAGGATCAAATTAGGATTTTTTCAATTTCTCTGAGTGCCAATCGTTAGTGTATATTACAACTTTTTTCTGAAACTCCATAGTTTAATAAAATAGATTAACATGAAAATCGCGACAGATATAACTTAAAATTTTTACAGTCAAAATATTCCTAAATTCCCTCAACGAAGCAGCAAAATCTCTCTTAATCTAAATTTCTTCACGTTTCTAAGTGCAATATAAGCCTCCTCCCCATATTTGAAAGTACACAGTTGTAGACAAAGTTGCAGACACTTTCATATCAAAAAACGACATTGTTTCAATTTCAGTTGTTTGCTTCGTTCCAATGAACTATCAATGAAACTAAATTTACACCACTCAAAAATGGTAAAAAACACACCCTTATACGCCAGCATATTTCCAAACCGGTCAAAAAAAGACACACCGTAGTACCGATTGCGAGAGTGGATAGCCAACTCACGAACTGACTCGGAAATGAGTCATCGACATGTTCTGCTGTTGTCATTCCTTCAGTATTATTCTTCTCATTTGACCAATCTCGTTATAAATCACTATGTTTCTATAAATCATCCGAAACAAAAACAAATTAAAAATGACGAGATCGATGAGATATATTAACGAATCCATTTCAAATGCATTAATGAGTTCACTTCAAACATACATAACACCAAAGCTATTGCACAACTCTAGCACTGCTTAAAAGAAGTGATCTGCAAATCTCAAGCAGATTATGAATCAAAGAACTTATTATTTAACCGCTTCTAAAATATTGAATGACCAGGAAGAATATTAAATTTCTGAAGTTTTAAATCACCAATATTCTGAAATTTAGACCTTCCTCTGACAGTGAATGGACTGAGAATAAAGCAGTAAAGCATAAGCCACTGCTGCACGTTATTACTGCACGTTTAAATATTTATCCCTTGCTAAATCCCAATCAATGGCATACGTTTATTGAAGGAATAATCGCTATTTTTCGTTATTAAGTAGCACCACAAAAATTAAATTTCGTAATTGTCAATAGTTAAATTATAGACATGAAGCCATTTTTCCTGACAGATTCTTAAGAAAGGAAGAAAACAAAATTTACTTCATTGCATTCAAAAGAAGACAAAATAATAAACAACTAATTACTTGTCAGAAACCGAAAAAAAACGGTAAAGATAGTTCTCACACTTTCAAATAATGATCGTTTATACATTTCAAAAAGTTTAGTGAAAATATACATATTTTCTCCTCTACTATCGGTTCGGTTATTGGAAGCTACTATCAAATGTCTTTCCTAGAATGTTACAACATAAAGACTTACTTTGTGAAGTAAATCACATTTTCATCCGACAGTGTATTACAAGATTTCGAAGTAAAGTAACCTTAAACTAAATTATACAGTAACAAACAGAAACATGACATAGCAAACCTGGTAATACCAAAACAATGCTACTTAACAAGATTATTTTAGTAAGGTTGAGCTAATGAAAATGGAACAGAAGACGCATCTCCAGAAACACTAGAAGTAGAACTACTTCCAGTGTTTCCGTGCTTCTGCTGTTGCTTTCCGCTTAAAATTGTCGGATCTTCTAACTCGTGTTGTTGTAGAGCATTTGGATTCATTACCATTCCAGCAAATTTACCCACTGCTAATGAAGCTACTTCAATCATCCCCACTATTACCGCTCCGACGGCTGCTGAGCCCATCATTACCTGCAATCAACAGAACATTTTTTAGAAAACCGCTGAAATTCATTACCAACATATCTGTAATTCTGTAGGAACTGAAAAACGTGAGCTTACTACTCCAAAATGAATATTCACTGTAAGGTATGAATAATTAACCTTTACGGTAATCAACCATTAAAAAATTACAAACTAATTATTAAATCTGCATCCAAAAAATAAAAGCTTAATTACAATTACATGCAAATTCATTGAATATTAGAAATAAATCCTTTTCAGATTCGAAAAAATCCAAAAAATGAATGAAACATGAAAAGTAGCTTTTGAAGATTCAGAAATACGTAACCATAGGACCAGATCGTACAGCTAGTAGGGCACCAGTCAGTCCACCGGATACGATTGGATTGAGCATATCTTCCTGCAACAGTTGCATAGAGAGTGAAAATATACTATATGAGAGCATAAATAAAAAGAAAAAACTTTGTTTCATTTCATAAAAGTTCTTTAGAATAAATTCTTTACTGTTATACGGACAAATTTAGCGAAAGTGACAGAAATGGAAAGCAAAATAATTGCAAACCTTCTTTCTTATAGCTACTAAACTACAATCAATCGCGCTAAACAAACCACCCCATGCTGCAAATTGTCCACCAACGACTGGTGATCGCGTACGTACCTATAATCAAATAAAAATATAGCTAAGAAGCTTTTCGAAATGAATCAAATGATGAAGATCAAAAATTACGGTTAAAAAATACCTCACGCATAATACCAACAAGTTTATGACCCCATGGAGAGTTTCTGAATCCGCTGTGAGCATGAAATAAAGATCCACCAGCTAGACCTAATGAAAATGCACCACCAACATCATCTCCAATTCTGTAGGGACTGAAAAATGTGAGCTTAGTGGTCAAAAATGAATGTCCACTATCAGTAGGATATGGATAAAAATAATATTAGATTAGTTGTAATAAACATTATCTTGTTAATATTTAAAACACGACATAATAATAGTTCCGTGAATCTCACTCTGCCTTATTCAGCTACATCTGAACCTTACTTGACGTAACAAAAATAGCATTCGACGAAGATAATGCCTTCACAGAAAACATAAATGAGAGTAGGGGAAAGGAAGTGTAAACGAAGTGTACTTAAATATGTAATAGCAGCAGAACATTACAGAATAATGAAAGGCAAGCAAGCAATTGGTACTCGTAATATTTACATCTTTATTGCATCAAAAATTTGCAAGCGGTGGATATAAGTAGTAATCAACAAAAAATAAACAATCAGAGTTAATCACTATATAATAGTACGCAAAAATTTCTTACCATGGTTCACGATCATCCATTTGATCAAACAGAAAATACAATTATTACTGGCGATAAGTAACTCTGTATACCATAAAGTATTACCTAAAATCGATCGAATTAATCAAGAATTATTACAATATACCGCATTCCGCCAAATCTCTCTCCTTCCTAACCGCCTCGAAAAAGTCCACAGAAATTGTATTGTGAGTCGTGGATATATCACAATGCCCGTTAAAATGCAGCTTAGGTGGGGAGGGATTTTGAATTTTCGCATTTTATGAAGTATTCGTTAAGGTTTGTTCACACCTGTTTTCTTCACTTACTCCCGTGGATTCACGTATTACACCATCGTTAACTTTTGATAGTTTACATTTTGCGAAGTTTTTAAATTACTCATTAATTTTTTAATTTGCTTTGTTTTCTTTAGTTATAGAAAACGTGGAACAAGTCAGTTGGTAATATTGATGTCGATAAAAGCGGTATTGGTAAACAGAATAATAGTAAGAAGAATCGTCTTGTTAACAATGACTTATGCATCAGGTATTATCGAATTAGTGAAGATTTTGTGAGACAAAAGATTTCTGGAAATTTGAAGAATGGTAATTCGTATTTTTGAAAGATTTTTTCATAGGCAAATAAAACTTGATTGCTATCGTTGTTTCAGTTTGATGGACAAATTGAAAGTGAAATAAAAGATAAATCGCAAATGAAACTAATAGAGTGATTTGAAACATCCGTTCTTTGGAGGATAGTGCATCATGACAAGAGATTTCGATCTTGGATATCAAACGCTACGACACACTACTTGGTCTTGTGATGGTCGCAGCCATACCATGACTGCACTCTGGTTTTATGGAAACAGTTGGAAAATTAATGATATAAAAATTTAAAGATTTAAATATTAACAAATCTGAACTTTGCATCTGAGAAAAGGCATAGAATCCTCAACCGAAGACTGTCGGAATTATTTCAATTGTTCAACGATAATACAAGGGGCCTTAGAAGAATGCGTTTTCTAAATCTCTGCGAAACGCGTTTTGTGGATGATAGTGTGGTCGATAGAATTACAAAAAGGTTAAAAGTTTTACCTGAGTCGATTTCTGTCCCAGTTGAATGTATTAAGCGAAGAGATATTAATTTATGTCTTCTTTTACTTTGTGACCATATAATT